AGCAGTGTGGCAGCAGCTGTGTAAGGGGGCACAACGTGCCGCAGGTGCCTGTTGGATCACAGGGCCAAGGACACAGGAGGAGCAGCAATTAGTGGCACGCTGTCCCAGCAGGGACAATGAGCCAGCTGGGATTGTCAGCAGGCACCAAAGGTCCTTCACAGAGCCATCAGCAATGCAAAGAAATCCCTTCTCTGGCCCTTCTCACTCTGCCTTTAAGGCAACAGACGTCCCTGGAAATCTGTGCTCCATTATCCTAACTCAGCACAGGTGACAACCTGGGCCACCAGCCCTCTCTGGTGACTCCTATGACATCCCTTATCTGGCCAGCTGAGAATGACCTGCTGCTGTACCAGGGGTGTGGAGACTGGACAAGCCACTGACCACCAAAACACAGCCCATGGACACAGGAGCAGAGGAAAACAGGGAGAAAGTCCATGGATTCAGACACCCGCCAGTAACTGCAGTGACAAATGGCACAATGGTGGACAAAGCAAGCAGCAGAAATCCATGGAAAATGAGACACTCGTGTACACTCAGGGAGCTGCACCCACTGTCCAAGTGCAGCCACTTCCCAGCTGACCCGTGACTGAAGGAGATGTCCCCTCTTTTCCAGCTGGCTCCAGCTCCCAGCTGACAGCAGCAGGCACCCCTCCCAGGTGAGCTCGCTGGCGTTAGCCGATGGTGCAGATCCACTGCTGGGTGTGACCAGAGAAGCAGAGCTGACCATCCCTTTGCCTTCAGGAAAGCCCTGGAGCTGCCCTGGAGCTCAGAGCCGCTGGCAGTAGAGTTCATAGAGGCTCTTGGCCATCCTCTGGGTCTCCTGGAAAGCCTCACAGCTCTGCTCCCAGCTCGGGGGCACCTGCTCCTCCCCGTAGTAGGCGCCGGCGATGGCCCCCGCCATGGTGGCGATGGTGTCCGTGTCCCCCCCCAGGGAGATGCAGTAGATGATGGTTCTCTGCAGGGCGTTGTAGTGCTCAGGAATGTCAGGATCAGCGTCCATGCAGCGCAGGAAGGAGTAAATGGCAGTGGGGACGGAGCGCAGTGCAGCGATGCCATTGCCTGGAACACACCCTGTCAGCACCCTCTGGCCTTCCTTCCTTTCTTTCCCCTTCCCACTGCAACCTGCTGTTGCCAGTGACTTTCCATAACAATATCATGGATTTTACCAGGGAAAGGTGAAAAAGTTTGTCCCTCAGAAACCCCCCAGTTCCCCAGTGCCACTCACATCTTGCAGAGCAATTCCCAGTTACCCCAGTATGGCCTGGCCATACACATCTACTCATTCCCATTCAACATGATGACCCAATAGCCCTTAAGAGATCTTGGAATGTTAAGAAACATTATGAAAGGTAAATTTCCCTTAGCAAGACATTTTTTTCCTGTCAATACACAGAGGAAATCACTGGGTTGAGACTCAGAATTCCTGACTGGTGAGCACAGGCTGCTTTTCCAGCATAGTCTGTGCCTGACAGGCAGCACAGGCTGAAGAGGAATCTAGGGGGACACACATCTACCAAGCTGGCTGAGTTAGTCCTGCTTCCAGCTTTCCTAAGAAAGGTACTCACCCAACTCAAACAATACATCTGCTTTGGGAACGCTGCTGAGCTCCAAAAATTCCTTGATTTTCTTGAGACGCCTGGAAAATGGTAAATCCTCAAATCCCAGCCTGCAAGCAGAGAGTGCAGTGAAGAGGAGAGAACGTGAAGAGCCAGAACAAACCACCACAGCAGGGCTGGGGCTTTCCCCAAGCTACTCACGCTCGGGCATCACTGAGAGACTTGTCATCCGCCTCCACGTGCTCCATGTGGCTGATGAGCTGCTCCAGGAAGGTTTCCCTGCTGAGCCCTTCCTGCAGTGCCAGGTGCACAGCCAGGGCCTGCAGGATGGCCCCGTTGTAGCCCAGGGAGTTGGCGTGGGTCAGCTCCGCGCTCAGCTTCGCGACCTGCCAGAGAAACCCCACTGTCAGCAAAGCTTCCCGGGACACTCCCCTGGCAGCAGGGACGCCCAGAGAAGCCCAGAATGTTCCGTTACCTTCTTGACATCCTGGATGTCGGAGTAGACGAGGGGGATGCCAGCCACCCTCATGGCCCCGCCGTTCCCGTAGGAGCCCTTCCCGTTGAACTGGGCTCTCGCGGGCTCAAACACGTCGTTGCACTTGGGGCTCAGGAGCTTCTTGAAGACGTTGACCACGGCCATCCCATAGCCCCTGTTGGGCTCCTTCTTGTACTCCTCAGCAAACCTGGTGTGGGCAGGGGGGAAAACACCCGGGGGGTTTGGTCTGTTACTGGGGTTTGTGATTGGATGAAGCCTCTTGCTAAAGTGAATTAATAACACACACATAAATCATCAGTGACATTCAGGCCTCAGTGATTCGGTTCTGCAGGAAACAATTCCCAAAGAACAGTGCGAAAGAAGGATGTATAAAATCACCTTCCATAACCCACTTGTTTTCCTCTCAATTCTGCCTCAAAATAGAAGCAAACTAGAAACATTTCCGTGGGTCACAACCACAAGGAAAGTCTTTTGTTCAAGTTCAATGGAAGAGTTTTCTAAACAAAGAAATGCTTTCCCTTAAGTGGAACCAAATGCTCTCAGGGCTGGGGATTCAACAGGGAAACAGATCATAAACAGAGTCAAGCTGAGCTCACTCCTATTCCCTCACTAAATTAAGGGCAGTGCAAACATAAATAGCAACAAATAAACATGAAACAAAATGTTTCTGGAATCTCCAAACATTCTCCTCCCCAAAGGTGGACACACACAGGGCTGACACACACACAGAGCTGACACACAGCAGCTCTGCCCTGTCAAGGCAGCTTCAGACTCCACACTGCAGCTGATGCTGCTGCATGGTCCAAGGCATGGCAAAGCAAAAGGACTAACAAACCAAAGGATTAACCATCTCTTTCCTAACTTTTTCCCTCCAAAAATTATTAATTAGAATTAGTCTGCTCATTCCCTGTCCCCTTCCACAGACAGTCACAGTGATGGTTACACCTTCAGGAAGCCTCATGCTCACCTCTTGGCCATGTCAACCTCATCGAACTCCTGCTTGGCCAGCAGTGACTGCACCACCGACCTGCTCATGGCCGTGTCGTCCGTGTACGGCAGCGACTCTGCAACGGGAGGGCAGAGAGTCACACCGGCAGCCAGGGACAAACTGCTCCTGCCCTTTGCCAGCACCTCCCTCATCTCCAAGGCCTGACTGGCACAAGTTGTCTGGGACAGCTGTGGCTGCCCCTGGATCCCTGGAAGTGTCCAAGGCCAGGTTGGACAGGGCTTGGCACAACCTGGGACAGTGGAAGGTGTCCCTGCCCATGGCAGGGGATGGCACTGGATGATTTTTAAGGTGCCTTCCAACCCAAACCTGTCAGGAAGTTCCCTGGCACTCTGAGGTTGACACTGCCATGGTTGTCCGAGTAAGGACACAGCCAGGGAGCTGCATCCACAGCTATAATGACAAAAAATATACTTCAAGATTAGTAAGAGCCAGGAGAAGATGCCTGACATCCAGAGGCATATATGGACAAGAGACTCAGCCTAACACAGAATCACAGATTTCCAGGATGGATTAGGTTGGAAGAGACCTTAAAGCCCATCCTGCTCCACTCCTTGACATGCCCAAGGACACCTTCCACTATCCCAGGTTGCTCCAAGCCCCATCCAACCTGGCCTTGGACACTTCCAGGGATCCAGGGGCAGCCACAGCTACTCTAGAGCAATCTGTGTCAGACCATCATCACTCTCATGGGGAACAATTCCTTCTCAATATTCCATCTAACCCTGCCCTCTGGCAGTGCCGTGTCCTTCACTCCAGGCCTTTGTCAACAGCCTCCATCTTTCCTGCAGACTCCCCTCAGGCACTGTAAGGCTATAATCATTTCCTAAGTGTTAAACAACTCTGAGCTTCTCTCACTCTTCTCCTCAAGCTTCGGTACCTCTGCACTACCCCAGCACTGCCACACCCACTCACAGCACACTCCACCTCAGCTCCCTGGAGTAGGAGCAGCACGGGCCGAGCAGAAAAACCACGGGTCCCTCTGCATCAGCGGTGTCCCTAAGGAATCCCTAGGGAATCAGGAACGGGTGTTGAATCCCCACAGCACAGGGGCACAGCACAGGGGCCAGCCAGGGCAGGCACAGCAGAGATGCCCCACAACCAGGTGAGGGTAAGCACCGGGGGCACCCACGTTTCGGGGGAGCAGAGGGGCTGGGGATTCTGCAGGTTGGGCACATCTCAAAGCACAGGTGCTGAGGGAGCGGGACACAAACACCCCCCAAAAGCCCAGTCCTGGGGAGTGCTGGGGTCTAACCCGAACCTCTGGGGTGCCGAGTGCCGTGCACAGCGGGGTGTGTGAAGGGGGGACCAGGGGATATCCCCCGCTCCCCGCCGCGCTCCCCTCATGCACCTCCACGTGCGCTCCCCGCCGCCTCCCCTCCCTCCTCAGGCGGCGCCGGTTCCAGCCCTTTGAGGAAACTCAGCAGCTCCGGCAGCTTCACGACGCTCCTGCCTTCGAAAACAGCTCCCAGGCAATCCCCCAACAACGCCCCGGCCAAGCAGCCCCGGAACCGAGCGAGGCCGGGCCGGGGACGAGCCGGGACCCGCCCGGGCCCTGAGGCCGGACCCGCCGCCGCCATCTTGCCGCGCGCGGCGCCTTCTTCCTCCCTGCCGCTAGGGAGCAGTGTGTGATCAAGCCACCGCGCACACTGACCCCTGGCGGCCCGGAGGACCGAGGTGCCGCGCCTTTTCCTTTAAATCCCTCCTGGAATCCAGCTGGATTTAATCGCCGCGGATGACAACTGGGGACAGGCCCTTTATTGCTTATAAATCCCCTCGGAGCGCGGGAGGCTGTAAACATCATCCAAGGGCCAGACAGTTATAAAACAAACTAGAAGAATTCCATTCTCCCCGAACGCGACGCAGATGCCGCTGTTGCTCGCTACGGAACTGAATCACCGGGAGTTTTTCATCCCCCCGCGCTTGCACAATTCCCGGCGCGCTAAGCCAGCTCCAGCTGACTGTTCCTCGGCAGGTTCCTGGTGCGGCTGACAGCGTCGACCTCTGGGTCAAACTTCTCCACGGGGACCACGAGTTTTCTCCGGGTGTCCATGCACTTGTTGTCCAGCTGCAGAGAATTGGTTTTGTAGCCAATATCTGTCTGAATGCGGTGAAGTTGTCTGTAAAGACCGTCCAAGGTATCCCTGGGAATAAGCAGAAGGGACAGGAGTTGGGATCAAATGGGAACAGACTCCCCAGGGAATGGTCACAGCCCTACCCTGCCAGAGCTCAAGGAACATTTGGAAAGTGCTCTCAAGCACAGGGATTTTTGGGGTGTCCCGTGCAGGGCCAGGAGTTGGTCTCAGTGATTCTTGTGTGTCTCTCCCAACTCAGGACATTCCATGATTTTAAACTGGACAGGAAGCACCCAACGTCCCACCTTCTGGCAGCTTTTGGCCCTGTACAAGGAGTGAACTCATCAGATCCTCATTGTTTGGGGCAGTGAATAGCCAGCCCACACAGTGCTCTGGGAGGGCAGCAAGAGATGTGCACCCAGGGAGCTGCCAGCCCACAGCAGCACTTCTGTTCCTTCCTTGTCACTCTTATTTTTGTCCCTTTTGGAACAGTCAGGGCCTGGATGAATTCAGTCCAGCAGGGGCTGTGTGAGCCCCATTCCCCTCCCAGCACAGCTCCCTTGTACCCCACACCCACCAAGCCCAAACACTGCTGCCTCTCATGAGCCCGGGTACCACGAGCACCAAAAGGCAGGTGCTGGAGGTGTGCCCAGAGCAGGGACACCCAGAGCCACATCCCCTCAGGGCAGCGCTGGGCACTGCTGTTCCTGGGCAGCAGGACACTCACTGTGACTCTGTCCGCTTCTGCTGGAGCGCACGGATGATCCCTTCCAGCTGCTGGACCTCGTCTGTCAGTCCAAACTGAGCCTGCAGGGAGGAGGGGACAGCACTTAACAGGGCTTTACAAAGGCCATGGTTCCCTCTTTCCCCTCTCCCCCAGCTCTGACATTATTCCCTTGCTTTGCTATCTCACTGTAGGATCCATTGCTCTGCTGCTGCTCCAAAACTCATCCATTGTTGCGGTGTGTCATCATGGGATGCCTCAGTTTCCCTGGTTTCTCCCTGAAGTTTCCTTCCCCAGGTGGTGTGTTAGTCACCTCTCCTTTCCTCCACCTTGACCCCTGCTGGGAACTGTCTATCAACCCAGAAATTCCAGGGGAGCATCGAGTGATTGGCAGGTTCAAAGGATGCTCTCCACCCCCTGGGGGGCCATTGGCTCATCCAGGTGTCCCTCTCACCTGAGACCCCCTCCCCCATACCTGGATTGGTGGTCCTTGGTTCCCCCCTCCCCCTCTGCCCCGGGTTAAAAGTGCAAGCATCCCATGTGCTCAAGGAGTTCTCGTGGAGCTGTTACTGCACTCAGAGGCCATGCAGCCCAGAAAAAAAACTGGATCAACCCATCCATCAGGACCGACTCCTTCTTCACCATCGCTTTAAAAGGTTTCTCCAGCGCAGGGAGGCCTGACGAGTGACCCTCTTCTACCAACAAGCCCCAGCCATAAGCACTGGAGCTCGGGACGTGCCTGGACTTGTCCCCACGTGCCCAGCTCCGACCCCTGGTAGCTAAATAGCATCTCTGGGGAGAAAGGACCACAGGTGCCACTATTGGTTCAGCAGCAGGGACCAGACAAGCCAAGGCACTTCCCGTTCAGTAAATTGGTAAAAACCAATAATCCATGTTTTCCAGAGCCCCCTTCGTGGTCAGCTCCCTGCAGGGAGCACGGCAGGTGAGGTACCTGATCCCGGCAGAGCTCGATGTGGGGCCGGTACGTGCGCGTCTCCAGGCGGGTGTGAGCCACCTTCAGATCCAGCGTTCTCTTCCGGATATCTTCCTCCAGCTGCCGGATCTCCTCCTCCATTTCAGCAATTTCCTCCAAGGTCTGAGGAGAGACATGTGTCGTGAGGGGCAGCCCAGGATGCAGACTGGGAAACTGTCCCCGTGTCTCTGGGAATTTTGCTGTGCTGGGGATAGATTTTACTCAAGGGCTTCTGAGGACTGAATCCTCTGCTTTGGCATGGACCAGGATGGTGCTGCTGAGACAAGGGGTGAAATAAAGAGGCTGAAACCTGGCAGTGCTGCCCAGCAGTGCCAGAGAAGCACTTGTGAGAGCTGGGATACTGCTGGGATCGTATGTGTGCCACTGAGCAGCAAACACATGGAAACTGCACTCAGGCTAAGTCACTTCCCATATAACAAACAGCCTTTGGGACTCCCTTCCCAGCCAGGATTGTAGTCAATGACCAAAGAAACAACACTTACATTCTTCTCCTGCCATTTCAGCTCACTAAGGGCTGCTTCCATGTCTCTCATCCTCTTCCTCAGCGCAAACTCTGTGGCTATACGCTGAGCATCCAGCTCATTGTTTGTCTGAGGAGAGAACAGCTCCAGTCACACATGGCTGCAAGGTGTCTGTGTCCCCCCCAAGCTGCGCCTGGAAGGTTGGGACAAGCTCAGGAGCAAAACCAGCTGGGTTTGGCTGCTGCCACATGTACATGTCACACTTCCCCAGCAGCCAAAAGGTGGGAATCAACTGACAGGGACATGTCCTCCAGCTTGGTGACACTGCTGCAAGCTCTTCAGCATAACCAAGCTCCTACTTAAACCAGAAGGGCAGCTGCTCCCAGACAGATCCACTGACATGCCTGCCACTCTCCCACACCAGATCCAGAATGGCACCACAGATTCCGTGCCAAGGGAGCAGTTTACCTGGGCAATGGTAAGTGTGATTGCTCCTCGGAGATCAACTGAGGCTTTCATTTCTGCCTCAGCACGCTCCTTGTTGCGCCGGCTGGTCAGTTCCCACTCACTAAGTGCAGTTGTTCTGTGAACAAATCAGTTACGAAAATAAATTGACTGTTTGCAAGATATTTTAAAGGAACCACCTGCTCCAGGCCAAGATGGCAGCACAAAATTATTCTGGAAAGCTGGAGGTCACATCTTCCCTGATCTCCTCAGAGACTAAACCCCACCAGGCCCAACATCTGCTCCACCAGGGACACATCCAAACCATGGAAAGGAATGCCAGGCAAGTGAAAATGTGCAGCACATCCCCCTGAGCTGTGCCAGAGGTGACACCACACTGCTGAGTGTCACAGCTAGCCAGGAGAGAGGCAGGGCACCTGGCCTCCACTGGGTTTGTAGTAACAATTTAGCTATCTCCCAAAAGTCTGTGGCTACCCCATGCCACAGGCAATTTCTGTTCTGAGCTCTCTCCAAAACTGTAACCATCAAGCCTGGACATAGCATGGAAGGAAAAGCAGCTCAGGGCTCAAGGCAGATTTGGCCACACAAGGACAGATTCTTTCCTTACCCATCTGGGATTCGTGTTGGGTTGACCTTGAAGGAGATGTTGCCAGAGGTGGGATTGAAGGACATGCACTGCCGATCAAGCTCCAACGCTTCCACCTTGTGCCGGTGGTCACAGCTCAGCTGCTGACGAGCTTCCTTTAAGAGGCTGTGGAGAGCCAGGCTGGAGTCAGCAGGGAGCAAGCCCACGGCAGGGGCAGCTCACAATTCCCAAAGCCTTCATCACCATGTCAGTCATCTTAGTGAAATGAATGATGAGCTCCCACCCTCCCTGGGAACTGGGCCTGACCTGCCCAGCACTGCCTGCCTGGCTGCCCCAGGCTGTGTGCTGGTATCACCCTGGAGAATGGAGCTGTGAAGGATTCCCACAGAGTACCAGGGCCTGGGAGCTTTAACACCTCGTGGCCACAGATTCCTAAACCAAGGCAGGTGGCACAAGAGAGCTGGGACAAAATTTCCAAATGGTGCTTGTGAAATTGCCCTTGACACACCCTTCCCTGCCAAATCCCTGACCGTGAAAATCATCCAGGGCTCCTGTGTGGTTCCCTGCCTGCCTGCCCATCTCAGTGTGGCATTAAAGGCACGTTAAGTATCTGGGGCCAAGCAAGGAGAGCAGAGTCATCAGCCAAAAGCTGTAACTCCTCACCAGAGCTGTTTGAAGGCATCGTCCACTCGCTTCTGCAGCTCTTTCTTGGTTTTCTCAATCACCTTCACCTCTTTATGTAGCTCCTCTTCCACAGGATCCCTCACCACATCGATGTCACGACGGCTCTCACGGAAGGTCAGGCACTCAATGGCAACATCCAAACACAAGTTCTTTGCCTGGATGGCATTTTCTGCTGCTTCCTTCACCTGGAAGAGGCAAATAATCAGGTGTTGAGGGGATCTTTTAGGGATGGGAGAGAGAAACGAAGGGGAACCCACCCATACCATCATTAAGAGGCACTCACACTGTCTTTGCAGTTCTGAAACCTTTTATCAAGTCTGGAATAAAAATTGCCAGAGCCAAACACCTGAGTCCTCTACACCTGCCATTTGCATTGGGAATCACACACCTTGCTGGGGGTTAACAATTCCAGAAGCAGCAGCAGCCTCTGGGTTTAAAACTCACAGCATCAGAGATCTCCCACCACTATTCCCTACTAAACCCAAACGGTTTGAAGGATGGTGTTAACATATTTCTTGTTGTCCTTCAGAGCTTTATAAGAAGTCCAAACAACAAAATCCACCCAGAAATCCAAACAGGAGCGTGTAATATACAGCTGCATGACATGGCTCAGCCAAGAACACAGGGATGTGTACATATATATATATATATATATATAGTGAGAAGCCCCCCTTGAACTCCAGATGGGCTTGCCCATTGCACAAGACAAGTCTCAATTATTTCACATCCCATGCTGATAGTGTAAGTTCATTTCCAGCCATCTGCCTTCCCAACATACTTTGGTTAAGGCATCAATTTCCAAGTCTATCTCTGCGAGGCATTTGGCCAGGGCCTCTCTCCATTTGTCCACGTTGGTGATACGATCTTTGAGGTGGGTTCGGCTGTTGTGCTCATCCCATTTTGCCTGGAATTAGAGAGAAATGCCATTACTCTTTCTAAAATTGTAGTTGTGAATCTTGCTGAAGCCTTTCCCCGTTTTCAGGACTGACTGAGCCTCTCACAGGAATACAAAACGTTGCCATTTGTCATCTACACAAATGGAGAGCACAGAGAACATCAGTGGCAGTGAATGTGAGAAACACACACGGGGATTTAGTGACAGTACAGATGCATCATTGCAGGTGGGTTTACAGGGAGTAAACGTCCATACTTAGCATGTTCTGTACAGGTAAAGCCCATCCAGACACCCAAATCTAGACACTCTCCCCAGCTCCTCAGCCCACTATCCTGACAAAGCTGTGAGCAGCCCCCCTGGCAGAGGGCTCACCTGGTTGCCGGTTTCATTGCGGAGAGCTCGTCCTTCCTGCCGGACATGATGGGAATTAAAACGCTGCTGTTCGGCATCGGCTGAGATGAGGAGGGAGTTGTTCTGCCAGTCTGGCAAGGTGAAGCGCTGGCCTGGCTTTACACTCAGCGAGGCCATCGTGCTGAACAGGTGACTGAACAGGAGCAGAAGATTTATGTGTTAATTCATGGAAATACACCTGAAATGGAGCTGCAGCCAAAAACTACAGAGCTCTTCAGGAGAAAAGCAGCAGCAGCAAACTGCAGCCTGGCACCTGGCCTAATGCAGATACATGTCCTTAAAATGGGGGAGCACAAGGGCAGGTGATGGGAGCCATCCTCTGCCTCGGGCCAGGGGGAAAAGCCCTGTCCCATCTGTCCCTCCCTAGGAACATAACTGTCTGCAGGGACAAGGAGCTGCTCACAGCACCAGCTTCCATATGGTATTTACTGAGCTTGGACAAAAACGGCTGAGGATGTGACTGATTCTGTTGTGCTACCGCTGAAGGCTTAGCCCAGGGCTGTGACCCCCGGGACTTCAAGGCTTTGAAGGAACAGCAGAATTTTTAGGCTTCTCCTTTTTCACCCAGCATAGACTGTACAACGGGCAGAAGCTGCAGACCCCACTCCAGAAAGTCCGAGGAACTCCCGAGGGGGCTGCAGGTGCCCAGACCCACGGTCGGGGGCAGTTCTGGGGCAGAATCCCTTGGCAGTGGGGTGTATATCCCATGTCTGCCCCAGCCCCCGCGGGCACAGAGCGCTGCGCCAGAGACCCTCGAGCACCGGCCCCAAGGCCTGACGGGGATGTGCAGCCCCTGAAGGGAAGGAAGCCCGGAGAGAGGGCACAAAGGGCCCGACCATAGGTGGAGGGGAAAGAGAGGAAGGGGAGAAGGAGGGAAAGGGCGCAGCCGCCGGCTCGGAAGCGGCTCACCCGGCTGGTGTGAGGGCACTCAGCTCCTCCGGCCCGACCACGCTCCCGCCGCGCCTCAGGGCCGGGCCGGGGCCGCTCTCTCCCCTCACCGTTACCGGCCGATTGCCTCCCTTTCCACTCACCGTTCCTGGCCGACCTCCACTCTCCCCTCACCTTTTCCGGTCGATCCCCCCGTCCCCGCTTTCCTCTCACCGTTCCCCCGCTGTCCCCGCACCGTTCCCGGCGATTCCCGCTGTCCTTTCACCGCTCCCGGCCGATTCCCCCTCTCCCCTCACCGTTCCTCGCTCTCGCCCCGGGCTCGCGCGGGGCCGTTGCGGGGCGGCCCTGGCGGCGGCTCTTGGGGCTATCGGTGACAGGGACACCGCAAACCGCAGCAAAGCAGCGCCCAAAGCACGGGGAAATACTGCTTAAAAAAATCCCATGAAATGCCCCATAAAACAGGAGGGAACCGGGGTGTCTGCTTCCAGAGCCCTTTCCCATTTCCACAGCAGCTATCCTGCCCCAGGATGGCTGTGGGCACTTCAACAAATTCTTGCATTTTTGAAATTATTTTTTAAAAATTTAGTTAAATGGCATTAAAATACAAAAAAAGACCGAAAGTAAATGGTTTTCCATCCTAGGATATGGCTGGTGCCTCCCTCCGCATCCACCCACCCAGACCAATATCTGCTCCTTGCTTTGGGAATAAATCACAATGATGCAAGTATAAATAAAGCCTCACACACGTGCATTTCAAAAAAAATTTATTTTTCAAATGAATACAGTTCGTTTACAATACACTCAAGTTGATGGTATCTATAGCCAGCAGAGATCGATGACTGCTGTGTCCTATACACAGTCGTACAGAGGTTACAGATGCCTACGAGAGGGAAGGAACAGTGAAAGAAGTCGACATTTTACTGTGCTGGAAGGAAAGCAACTCTTGCAACAGGTAGAAAATTTTGGCAAGAACAATTTGTCCAGAAAGGGAAAAGGGGCAGAGGACACGGCTTCTGCTTAGCGAGTACATCTCAAACACCGACACATTCCCTCCCACCCCGCACGGCTGCAGCCCACGGTACAGAGGCACACATGGTCAAGATGGTTAAGTAAAAATAAAGGCTTTTACCAGTTTGTTTGCCATCCATCTACAATCTATTTGTGCAACGTCTCAAGTCACAGCTCTGCTTTACTCTTGAAACATTTCCCTTTTGCTTCGAAAGCCCCCAGGACCTTTACGGTGGGAACACATTCACGCTCCTGCCGAAGCAATGGGACACCAAAACAGGGGAGCAGTTACCAGCATATGAGAAAGAGCAGACACATGGGACAGGATCAATCCACCAGACTGGTTTATTAGAATTTTATTCAGAAAAGGAATCCCAAACAGCATGACTTTTTCTTTTTTTGAACAATATAAACCCGTGGTATTAAATATGGAAGGTTTCTATGTGTGACATTGCTTCCAGCAGTCTCCGAAACTAACACAGCTCACTGGCCAGTGAGCACACACAATGCCACCTGAACCACCTTCTTCCCAAAATCCTGTAATGTTAGCTCGTAACCAAATGCTATCAATGACTGTGAAAGCTCTGAAGTAACACCTGCTGACACAATGTCCTTGTCCACGATCACACACCTCCAGCCAGGTGAACAGCCCACTTTTTCCCCACCAAGCACCATTTATGAGGCTTCCTGGGGAGCTGAACTGCTTATACCAAGGGAAAAGACAAGAACAGGAAGGAGGGTCTGTACCCCGTGAGCCCAAAGTGTCACTGCTCCCCTGGAACGCTGATCTGTACACCAGTGCCTGTAAAACCAACATTTCTGACCCAAAACTCGCTCTGCCCGCCCCACTGCTGTGCTGCAGCTCACTTTTCACACCTGCCTGCAAACAGACACCAAACACAATGAGCTAGAAGCAGGCTTTTCTACAGGAAAACAACAGGTAGTTGTCTCAGGGAGAGATTCAACACTGAAAACTGCAAAAATGGGAAGATTTCACTGAAAAAACAGAAATCAAGTCCAAAAAAAAAGTAAACACTACAGCCACAGGAGAGAAGTGATGCACAAAAGCGAGTACCCAGAAGAAGCCATTCTGCACTGCAAAGCTGCCAGAAGCCAAACTCCATCTCTGGCATTCTTCCTCTCACCAAGTTTTGTTGGTGTTCAATTATCCTCACTACTTCAGGAGCAATACTCAAGTTTTCACTTTGCTGGCACACCATCAGGTTCCAAAAGTTTTTTAAAGACAGCATTGCTCCAGTGGGCATCACTTTGCTATTACATCTGAGAGGACACTACCTACCAAGACATGTATTTTCTATCAAAGAAACTGGTTTTGAAGATATTTAAGAGATTTGCAAGTGTAAGCAAAATGAAAGTTTATTAGTAACTATTTTAAAAGCTAACTTTTGCACACCTGTACTGAAATGGGTTGTGAATCTATGATTTATGGGCAAGCACGGCCCTAAAATCAACATACAGCCATATTTTTGTGTTGCTAGATAGTGTTATAGCATTAATTTTCCAACTGCCAAATGCATTTGAAAGACCTGTGTAATTCTCAGCAATGAAAAAAAAAACTCTTTCATTTAAATAAACTTGCCCTCTGAGCATCTGTTTTATAACAAATGGGATGGTTTAAAGAAAGCAAGATGGCAAACACAGGACTGACCCCAAGGGGGTTCAGCCTCGGGCAGAGCTGCAATGGGATGGGAGGGAAGAGCTCCAGCTCCCAGCAGGGATGGGCTCCAAACAACTGCATCCACTGGAAGATGCAAATGTGCAAGAAGTGCACGGGTTTGTATCACGAGGTCACCACGGTCACGACATGGTTCACCCAGTAACTCGCTCTCCTAAGGCGATGTGATGCAAATGTGCAAGAAGTGCACGGGTTTGTATCACAAGGTCACCACTGTCACGACACGGTTCACCCTCAGGTCACCCAGTAACTCACTCTCCTAAGGCGATGTGGATCATCACAAGCATTTTCTAGATGAAAAATGAGGCAGAATCATTTCCCCCAGGTTCAGAAAGGGAACCTGCTTCAGAGCCAGCTGGTTCCAAAGCTCCTGGCTGGACAACTTGCCAATGTCTCAAAACAGCTTCACATAGGAAGCTGTTGGAAAAGCTCTTCCATTTTGGTCTGAAAATCCACTTTTTTTAGCAGCTCAAAGCCCAGACTGGCATCTAAGCACACACATGCTTACTTCTGCACAGTGCAGTGTCTGCAGTGGGGCCCTGGGGCCAGAGGATGGGGGATTGTTCCTGTTTCCACACCCAAGTGACCACACGATTCTGTCCCCAGATATCACCACCCCTGCTGCTGGCAAACTGCTTTTTGAGCTCATCTGTGACGTTTAATCCTCACCTCCACACTGAGCCAGAGCTTTGCACTGCTCCCCAACATTCACTGGACAACATTCCCCATGTCCCTGCAATCTCCAAAGGGTGGAGAGGGGAGTGTATGGAAAGCTGCAGGAGCACAGTAAAGAGCGAGGACATCACTGGACAGGCAACATTCAAATAAAGGCAGAATTAATGATTCTCATTAGATAAACATATCAAGGTTAAATTTTATTTTAAAAAATTGCAAGTCTACCAGGTAGTAGGTTTATTTGATGACATTACTCTCCAGAAAACACTTATTTTAAAAGCTTCTCCTCTCTGGGTATTTCTAATTCACAAATAATTCAGGGCTCGCTTTGATTAAATAATTCAACACAAAACCAACTCTGACCAAGGATTTTGAGCTTTAAAAACAGCTCAAGAAAAATACTAGCCATCCTACCAATGCAAACACTAGTTTTTCCAGCTCTGTTCCTGGTCAGAAAAAGGCACATACTTGCTCTCAGTGAGTTCAAGTCCAACACAAAAAGTTCAGGATACCCAAGCTCATGTCTGATGTCCCTGAAAGGCGTGAGCTGATCACAGCTCACCTGACACCCACCCACCTCCTACCCAGTCCTTTGTTTCTCCAGGCTTTTGTCACCATCCCACCCCCACCCTGACATCCAGAGCTGATCTGTGCTCCACGCAGCCACAGCATCCTCAGCATGGCTAATTCCATCCAGGCAGTGGAGGGAGAGAGACCCTGCTCAGGGAATGGGGAGGTAGGTAAGAGCTGAGTAAGAGCAGAGCAGCTGCAGTGCTACAGCAAAAGGACCTCTACACGTGCCTGCTGCTGTTCCTGGGAGCCAGGCACACCTCCAGGCAACCAGGAATCTCTCAGGGCAGCTGTGT